AGCGCTCTTCAAATCGCACCATGGGCTCAAGAACTCCACTTTTATTGTTCTGAATCGTTCCATTCTCCACTTTACATGCAATAGTTATCATTGAATTTCCTGGCAAAACGACAGACTGGGCAATTGCAACCCGGCATACTTTACGCTCGTTTGAATAAGACAATGTTTCTTCTTCTCTTTTTATTCGTAATGTATTCTTCTCGAAATCTATTATGCACTTATGAGGTTTTAAGAAGTCTACTCCAATTAGCATTGCTTGTGCTAAATCGTTACAAATTAAAACGTCATGAGTTACTGAATTCCCGCATACTGAAATGTCTATCTCGGCAATTCCAATTATATTTAAAGGCGTATTGTTCGCACCCACGATTGTTTTTGTCGCGCGTCTCACTTCTGTTCCTTTATTACGTACTCGCGCCAGTAAATCCTCGTGCATGATAGTCACGGCTGCGCCAGTGTCCACCAAAGCTTTAACATAGTACCCGTTAACTCGACAGTTCACAAATATTGTGGCGTCGTCTGTTGCACTAGCTTTGCCTTTATTCCTAAACTCAGCGGTTTCAACACGTTTCGGCGCGGGCGGAGGCTCTATAAAGCGCCCGCCCTGTAGGCGTTTCCCTGATTCTGCGATTGACATTCTCGTGCGAAGTGACCATATTTTCCACAACGGTAGCACTGGCTATTTCCCCTTTGACGTCTTGGGTATGAGGCCGTATTTGGTTTGTTCACAAGAAATTTACTCATTTTATCCATCAGTTCCGCTTGTTGATCAAAGTACTTTTTCGCCCATCGTGGTGTTGATTGATCTTCCTCTTTCGCGCCCGTCATGTTGAGGCCTGCGGTATCTCGTTTATCTCTCGCGCCCGCCATGTCGAAGCCAGCGGTATCTCGCTCGTCTCCCGCCATGTTGATTTTCGCGGTGTTGTTGTTTTTCATTTCAGCCAAATGAATACTTTCCAGACGTAACGCTAGTTTTACAGCTTCATCGAGAGATTTTGGGTCACTTTGACTCACTCCGATACGTAGTTCCTTACTGTCGAGGGCACGGATAAATTGTTCAACGAGTTCCTCCTCGACAAGCGACTTATCCTTGTTTTGGTACGCCAGTGCAGCGAGTTGTCGCAGATCAGTTGCTAAATCTACAATGTTCTCCCCGTGTTTTCGTTTCCTCGCATTGAAGGTCAGCTTGTGGATTTTCCTTTGTTGGTCTGGCTGAATTCTAGACTGTAGTGCGTTCACTAGGTCGTCAAAACACGTCTTCTCGTTATCTTGAAGCGTCAAGTAGATTCGCTGAGCTGTACCGCGAAGAGAAACAGCTAGCTGTTGGCAACACTGTGTGTCGTCCCAGTTGTTTATCTGAGCACACAGCTTGAAGTGACTAATCCACTCGTTCCACGGGCCGTCCGAGTAGTTATCTGGCTTTGCTTTCTGATTATTTACTTGAACCACGGGCAGGTTTAAACTCGACGATGGCGTCGCATCGTTTTCTGTCTTCTCCAGTTCCTCAACACGCTTGGTAAGTCTCTCGCTCAATTTCTTGAAGTAATTCAGCGCTAGACATTCTTTATATTTTGTTTGCCGCTGCCACCAATGTAATAGTTTATTTCTGAAGATATATTAATATTAACAGTCTTACAACTTTCCTGTAGTGTTCGGATTTAAAACTATCGATCAACGCTCGTCAACGCCACCTATATTTGCTAACGTCAGTCTTTACAACGTCGGTCTCTATATTCTCTACAGTTTCAACATAGCCAAATACAGCGTAAAGTCCGCAGTTTGCATCTGCTGAAAGGATGTCGGCTTACTCGTAGGTGTTTTATCTCATGCATGTATGACAAGATTACTATAGATTACATTGTATAATAGGCCTACATTGAAATACCACTGAAAACGCATCGGTCACGGAAACCACCTTGACGTGTAGAAATGCTAGCGATGATGGTTTATAAATAATGCTTGTTGGTGTCGCTGCTATGATGGAAGCCCGCAACCGTGCAATATTTAAACAAAATAGGTAAAAATTTAAGGTTTTTATAAACTCCAATATGGTTTCTAGTAATTTTATACAGTCGCCATTTTTGGGAAATGTGCGCATGTCCATCGCCATCCAGTGGTGTCTTGTCACGATACCCACCATCTCCCCCTGATATTGGTTTGTTAGCTAGGGTCGGTTGTATGCTAACTACTTTTAACCACAATTTTGTAGTTAAAATTAAATAGTAGTTAACTCTACAATACACGAGTTTGACTGGTTTACTTTGCACTAATTATAGTTAACTTTAAATTCTTTATATATACACCGGTCCCTGGTTATCAATATATTTAAAACAAAATTAGCATATAAATATAATTATGCTAAATACGATATTCTTACCATTCTTCCTGCAGCGGCCTCGTAAAACGTCCAGTCACTATCTTCGGTGGTTATTTTGTCAAACCAATGATCAGCAGTGTGAGTCAACTGACAGTTGACGTCATTTTCCCTTGAGTTTTTGTTGTAATTATACCCGACACAAAATCGCTGTGCTAAGCAACTGCTACCACAGTCAAGCCAACTACGTTCTAACGACTCAGAGATGATCTTTTTCTTCAAACTTGGAACACCTGAAGTTATAGGAAACGGTGCAGCAAGCTTTTGAGAGGTGTGGGGACACCTTCATTGCATGAAGAAAGCCGAAATATCTCACCCAGCCCTCTAGAGTCTCTACATAATTTTTTTGGGTCCCTCTCACTTAAAAAACATTTGCCAGACACGGTTAAAGAGAATACTAATTAAAGCATGCTAAAAAATGAAAGAGCCGTGCCGTGTATTAAAACAATAAAAGAAACATTGAAATCGACAACTCTTTTAATTATTAGCGAAATGCATGTTTTTAACAAAAACCAAAACTACTCAAATATATTTCAATTTTCAAATACAAGCTACTTCCCGATTATAAGAGAATAAAAAAGCATGCTAAGAAAAAAGCGCCGTGTTATTTACACTGAGACCCCGTTCACACGATATCAGCAGAGTTTGAAAACGGAACGAAATTCTACCGACAGAGTGCCGTGTGAACGCCTAAACCGTAAGAATTCATTACGGTACGGTTATGCAAAATGAATTAACAAATCTACTAGAAAATACATGCATGCAGAAACTCTCGCCTTGCTGACAAAACCATTGTATTTTCCAAACATGAAGTATCCAAAGTTGTTGTCATGGCAGTGCTTCCATTTTCAAGGAAATTTCCTTTTCTAAGGAAATTCTAGTGTCGAAAAGGAAAATTCAAGTAAGAGAAAAAATCTAAGGAAATCTAAGGATTTTTTCCGAACAACTTAAATATTCATCCAAGTGCATTAGTGCAGACGAAAGTTTCACTATTTCTTGACTTTTTGAGTGAATTATCAATTGTGTTTAATTAAAAATCTGTTTTTAACTTTTCCTCGTGTTTCCGAAAACTTTCGAAAGTTTTTGAGCGATGGGATTTAGTAACTTTTGGCGCCAAACGCTGTGAATAATTAATTATTTATATCAATGGGAAGGTATATGTTGTAAAAGCATAACAAATATTTAATTTTAAACAGTGTAATAGCCTGTGGTTTTTTAGCTAGCAATCATCTTTGTTAATTGTGCTATTTTCTGCCTTTAACATTGATTAAATCCTTTGTATCGCTACAAAAGCACTGCAAACCGCCTAATGAAATTTCAAGGAATTTTCAAGGAAATTATGTATACAATCTAAGGAATTTAGGGAAATTTTGATGATAAAAATGAGAAATTTTGATTT